CCCTTTCTGTAGTAAAACAGTAAGATATGTCGAAAATGCTGCTTATCGCTCTCCATATTTAAAAGGGCACCAACCAAAAACTACTGCGTAGAATTAATTGGAATTTTTCACACACAAACCTTACTATATGAGCTCTCAAAGCATATAAAAATTATACGGCTTAAATGTGAAGTTGGGTGCAAAAGAATACAATTAAATCCTCTGTCGGGAAAAAACGAAATGTATAACACTCTGCACAAGACAGTCCTTTGCTTAGTGAAAAACTCGTTGTTGAAGTGGCGAAGCGCTAGCAGGAGGGGTATTTATAAGCGTGATTGGGAAGTCAACCTACAATATGGAATATTTTTATACTGTGCCTAAATCATACTATAAACAATTAACGATGTATTTAGTCTTAAAGATTTTACTACTGAAGATATTTTAGGAACAATTGGACTTTCAAATTAACCATACAGTTGGAGAGTTGGGCATGAGATTTCAACGTAGTCTGGAATATGGATAAAAACGTTCACATGTTCGAATAATAGGAGGGCTACATTTCTAAGTAGACGCTACCTATGTAGCTATGTAGGAACGAAAGGTAGATACAGTAGATGAAAATACCCAATTTATTTTTTAAATTATGTCATCGAGATAGTGGTTTAACAGTTTACAGAAATGTAGTTATTGGAATGCTTAATTGAATTCCCCAAAACACGTGAGTTGCAATAAAAAAAGGTAGCGGACAATGGCGAAGTCATACAGAAGCTAAGAACAAATCAGATTCAACTGTGCTTCCGATTATCAGTTTCCCAGGTCTGTCCATTGCTAAGGTCAAAAATATGCATTCCTGTTAAAAAAATGACGTTATCTTCAAATGACCTCGAAGATTAAGATCAAGGTCACTTTGAAGGTTATTAGTTGATTTCCCCTTTGAAATCATATACATATAAGAACTGTTTCCCAAATAATGGGAACCAATGAAGATATACCATGCTTGAAAACATTCTGCTATTATTCAAACTTGTTAAGGTAAAATATGTCTTTACTCAGGATGACGTCGAAATCAGTGGCCTATTCTTGTGGCATGCTGTTTGTTCGTTCATCGTTCCGTAGCGGTATTGTTGAAAAGGCCAGAGCATAAATATGGTATCATCATCATAAGGTCGTCACCGAGCTGCATGGCCTAGAGGTGTAGACCATTGCTTAGCATTCGGGAGGACGCCGGTTCGATTCCGGGTCCGTCTGCCTTGGTCCAAGTTTTTCTGTGGTTTCCTTGGATCACTTAGGCAAATGCTGAGGCAGTAATATTCCACAGATAATCTTTCACTCTCTTCTGTCTTCATTTCGTCCGTCTCATCTTTCTCACCCGAACCACCACCCACCCATTCCCACGATTCCTGAAAGTAGGCTGAAGAGGGCCTTCCGCCCTACCTTCCGGCATAGTCCGGAGGGACTGCCCGCCCACCAGCATTACTGGCTGGTGGGAATGAAACACCCAAAAGCAAAAAGAAACCATAAGGTCGTCAGTCCTAAGACTGTATGGACACGCATTCCCACTCTTTCCTATGCTGAGCTAATCTCGCATTTCCTTAAAACTAGAACAACTCACATCCTTAACTATTTGCGAACAGTAATCTAATATAGGTCTACCTCTTCGAATTTCTAAATTAACCGTTCGCGAGCATAGAAGTGACTTCTTTTTATTGAAGGCGACTCGACCCTGCGCAATCCTCTGTTTTATATCCCTACTACTACTTCCGTCCTGACTTATCTGACTTCCTAGATACCTAAAATCGGCCATTAATTTTTCGTCGCTAATCTCTACATTCGCTCTTTCCGCACTTTTTCTTCCCTTGCAAACAAGTATTTTAGTTTTACTTTTATTTATTTTCATACAGTACTGATCTGTGAGTACCGCTTCCATTTTATTTAAAGCTATCTCTAACTCCTACTTGCTAGATGCTAATACAGCTATATTATCTGCAAATCTAAGCATACTAATCTTTTGTGCCTGTATATCTATCCCTACAGTTGTACTGTCTTAAATGGTGTTGATATATAAATTAGAAAGTAGCGGTGACAGTATATATTTTTTGTTTCGGTTTGAATTAACAATTTTACACTATTAAAATATGTAGTAAATGATAATTTTCTTTCGGGCTTGTGAGGTCGTCCAAAGGTTATGTGACTGTCCGACGTTTCGTTAACAGTTGCGGTTGACAGAGGTCCACAAGATCAGCGAAGTAGTGTTTGACCTCGAAGTTGTCTTCATGACTAGCTGTTGACTACTGACTACAGTTCTAACAACGTAAACGACAGAAAAAAGTACTATGAACATTTTGAATTTGTTTGCCATACTCGTTTCTAAAAGTGTATAGAGATGCTTCTCCTTCTTCTAGACTCCATGCACATTTACCAAATAAATGTACCTTACAATTTCCGTATTTGTGTATCGACGAGTTATGTAAAATCTCCTTATTCCAAGGCAATTACGCTTAGTATCGTATTCAAAGGTACCATCTGTAAATCTAATTTAAACACAATATCGTTCTAAAGAGATTTCCGCGCTGCTACTTCCGGGTCTTCTACAGAGGCGTATACGAAAATAAAATCGATTACTTTACTGTGTCTCCGGGTGATGTAAACAATTGTAGATATTGCGAACCCGACAAATACTTTCAACAGCATTTAAATTGAGTCTGAATAAGAGAAACTACAGAGATTTTATTCATTCTCATCATTATCATGAAATAAAAATTGGTCTGAGCACGCTTTGGTCGGTGCTAATACGACTAACTTCCCATTAGATAATACAGTTATTATTGATTCCGTAACTTCATTGTTGTGATTAGATTAGAACGTATTTTAATTAAATTGTTTGTAATTAATTCGTTTTTTTTTTATAAAAAAAAAACGGCTTGACCGATTTCGTTCAAATTTCTTTCAGATCTTCATTA